CACAAACAATTGATAAATTTTAATATTTATTTATAATTAAACCAGCATATTGATGCTCCAGAACATCAAACAAATCATATGAATTTACATTCCACCAAAATCGACAAAATAAACCAAAAGAATAACTACAAAAAAGATTAAAATCGATATGTTGTAAAAAATCAAATACAACAACGAAAAAAATCACCATATGAACTGTTTTTTATCAATTACCTGATGAGTCCCATCGCCCGCTGTGTTGAATTAGAATTGAAAAATTATTGGTATGCATTTTGGATCGTCGATCTTAGTAGAGAAGAGGAGTTTTATTTTTGTATGAAACCTAGATAATATATAACAAATTGGAGTAAATCAAGGAAAGTAAAATAATTGGAGAAATTTAAGGGATACGTGATATTTGTGGCTGACTTGGTAAACGTTTTTAAAAAAAAATAAAAATTCTAGTTTTGAAAAAAAAATATTGTTATATAATTGAAAAAAAAAGTATTGCTATATTGATGTAATTAAAGACTTTAAGTTGTATATTTAAGTTTTTTGCCCTTAGTTATTATTTATTCGTTGTTAAGTGATCATGGTTCCCACAACCCTAGTTGTGGATGTAGTTACTCATGCTTGAAAGAACACAATTCATATTTTGGTAAAAAGAATTCATGAACTTACAATTAGAGTTGAAGAATCTGAAATCTCCAATTGAATTGCAAAGTCAAAATCGTATAAACCGAAATCCGGAAATCAAATTGCTATAGTTTGCAAGTTAATTCCCAAAGAAAAATGCCAAGAACTAAAAGTAAGCAATAATGTATCACCCCTAAAAACGAGGTTTACATACCCTATTTATAGAAAAACATGTCCTAAACAAAAAGGAAACCAAAATAAGGAAATAAACTTCTGGGACGCGGCTTTGATCGACGACTTGACCTACGCACCGTGGGTCGACCTACGGTTCATAGGTCCCCTCCGTTGGTCAACACTTAGACTTTTTCTTCAAGGCCTGGAACCATCATTCTCTGATCACCAACAACGGACGCACAGGATGGGCCGTAGGTGGACCTACGGTCCATGCTCCTCTTTTGTGGCTCCATACTTAGGAATTTCATCAAGTACTGGAACTTCAACTCTCTGAACACCTTCGACGGATGTGCTGACGGTCGTGGGTCGACCTACGGTCCGTGGTTTGCTTCGTAGTTCCACACTTGGTTAGACTTCCCTGATGCTCCTATCTACGCCTACCCATCGATGGACCAACATAGGACCTACGGTCCGTAGGTCACATCCGTGGGTGGCCACTTCTGCAGAATTTCAGCTGCCATCTCACTCAACCGCGTCCAAGCCTATTTCTTGCAAACATGATACAAAACACATTATTTCTAGTACAAAATGGTCCTAGACACACACAACTCTTAAGTGAAATGTATCAAAAATATCGTAAATTCACGTATATCAATGATCTAGTGTAATTGGTATCTTTTAGACCTTATATAAACACCAACTTTCAATAGTCTTGTTTTTAGATAACAAAATTGAATAAATATTAAATTGGTTATAATTATTATTGATTTGTGATGGTATATTATTAGGTGTAATTGGTAGTGTATATGGTATAGATGATTTGGTGTAATTGGTATTGTGTATTTTGTTTTTATAAACACCAGAATTCATAGTTTATTTTTAGTGTGAATGTTATATATTAGGTCATATTGAAAAAACAACTTTGGTGATCATTTTTTGGGAACATCAAGTGTATTATGTAGTGTGTTTTGGGCTGTTTAAATACAACAAAATTGCTGATATGTTTTTTGGTAAATGTTTTGGTTAAAATGATGGTCTACAAAACTAATTTAGGTCGTCAACCATTTCGTATACCAACATGATTATCATTTTATCTATATATAGACATTTTGTATACCAAACTGTGTAATTTAATTACAGAAGGAACACCATTCTGTTTATTTTGGAAATTGATTAATAAGTTGTACTCTAACACATGTAATTACGTGGATTACAATATTAAAGGGGTGATGTATGATACATACACCAAATACGAAGACTTATTATTACTAAATCTTCCCAATTGAGTGTGGACACAACCATTTTTCATTTAGAACTCAAGTATGTCGTTAGTGGTCCATCTCCACCAATGAAGATTCATAACGATATGGTTGTCCAAGTTTGTTTAGATAAAAAAATGCAATTATGATTTCTTTTCAAAATATCTCTTATATGTAACATGTGTGGATAGAGCTATGTAATCCATTGAATACCAAACTGGTGTCCAATCAACAAGGCAAGAAATTTTGAGATCCAACACACTATGTTTGACTGTTACCACAAAAACATGTTAAAAACTGAGCTATGTAAAAGAACAATATAAGATTGAAGGCTGGCATTTTGAATAACAAAATACAAACAAAACTTTTGTACCTTCAGCAAGTGCTAAAATAATTATTTAAACTAACTTACAATACAAATCAGAATGCGTATCAACAATTAAAAATATGATATTTACAGATCATACAAATAAACAATATAAAAGGCAGCTACAAAATTATCATGTTTAAATGAAACAAAATTTTGTACTTTCACAAATTTCTACAACCAATATTTATTTGACTTAAAAGATTATGTAATAACTTTATACTAAAATTTAATGCACTATTATTCTATGAGCCAACACACTAAATAAAATACATAAATATAGATAACATGATAAGAGTTTAACCAAAAAAACAAAAAAAAATAAGGCAGTAAAGTACTTAAGAACAAAGCTATATAAAAAAACAATATAAGATTGAAGGCTGACATTTTGAATAACAAAATACAAACAAAACTTTTGTACCTTCACCAAGTGCTAAAATAATGATTTAAACTAACTTACAACACAAATCAGAATGTGTACCAATAATTAAAAATATAATATTTATAGGTCATACTAATAAACAATATAAATGCAGTTATAAAATTATCATGCTTAAATGAAACAAAACTTTGTACTTTCACAAATTGCTACAACCAATACTTATATTGACTTAAAAGAATATGTAATAACTTTATATCAAGATTTATTAAATCTAGGGCTTTTCCGCAGCGTCTATCCATCGAACTCAAGAAAGGGGTTAACAATGGTGAACAAAATGGTGAAAGGAATGGTGAAATGTATGAACTTGAGTTCAGATTCTGATGCGAGAGGCGATTTGGACGAAAGAAGATGAAAGGTGAAGAATTAGTTTGAAGGAAGGGAAGAGAAAAAATTAAATTACCTAGAAACTATAAACCACATAGGGAGTAACTATGGGCAACTTGTTGGTAACATAAAAAATTTACCTTTACATGGATTGTATCAAAAAGGAAGAAAATAAAATCTGGTAAAGTTTAAACATTTAACATAAAAGATGAGAGAATAAAAGGTAAGAAACGTGTATAGTTTAAAATGTACTAGGAGAGATAAAAATTGACAAAATTGTGTACCATAATTATCATCCCCACAAAAAAGGCACATAATCCAAAAAGTAGAAGAGAAGAAAATAAAAAATAACTTAAATTAGAAAATTAATTAATCTGCTATGTATATAATTTAAAAACTATATTTGTAATTAAATAGAAGTATGTGTATATATTGTTAATTAAAGTCTTATTATTGTATAATAACACTATATAGATTGATATCCAGTCCTTTCTTATATAACCCTTTTGTTTTCCCCCTTGTAAAACAAAATACATTTAGTTCAAATACTATGGATCTAATAAACACACTTCACATGACATATAGTGGAGTTCAAACTTACTATAAAGCCGACATTTAATTGTAATCCCATCTTATTCACCCAGCAAATCTGCCTTTTATTTGGTTAACAACAATATAAAGCTTTCAAGGAATCTTGTAAATACAAGTTTGCCTATTAGGTTTATCATAAATGGAAAGCTCCACAAGAATCTTCCGCTGATAAACTCCGTTGACTCCAATTATTGTCCATGTTCTTGACACTTTCATGCACACTTACAACCTGCACCAAAGATCTGTTGCATTAGCAGACATAGACCAACTTGATAAACTTATAAATTCATCTTGCAAATGATCCCAGCAATGGCAAACCAATCTTGTAAAATATGTTTACTGGCCCATCAAACGTAGTTGATATTGTGCTAAGGAGAAGACAATTTTTCCCCTTAGTTCAAGGCTCTTATTCATAATAAATAAACAAATGTTGAATTTCTAAAATAGACGATGAATAGTGCAGTAGAATCATTACCAAGGAAGTTTAAAAGTATCTTTCAACCATCCTTGTTTCGAGGAGTTAGCAAATATTTTATTCATCCGCACAATGACCTCAGAAAATGTTGGCCGTACAAAAGCTTCTGGATCCCAACATTCTTCAATCAACCTAGAAATACAATACATTGAGCAGAAGTCAAGAGGGAACACAAGTATTGATATTGAATGCAAACCTAATAAGGTAATGGTGCACTAGGAGAGCCATCTAGTCCTGCCTGAGGGGCCTGGAGGTGGTACACTCATCTGGAGTATACTCCAATTACCGAATATCAATTATCAAAAGCTTATTACAGAACTCTTAAGTTGAGCATAAATGAGGTCATGCACACAACAAAGTCTCTGTGTGGCCTGTAGATCATGGATTCGAGCCGTGGAAGCAGCCACTAATGCTTGCATTTAGGTAGCTTGTCTACGTCACACCCTTGGGGTGCGGGTGCGGCCGCCCTTCCCCAGACCCTGCTAACACGAGATGCTTTATGCACCAGGCTGCCTTTAGAGATGGACATCAAAAGACGAGCATTAAATGCTCAAGGTCTAGAAGGATCTGACAAAAAGGGTACTAGAAATGCCCCCAAGGCCTAGCTCAAGTGGCAAAAGGTGGAGGATTGTGGCTTAGGTCGCAGGTTCAAGCCCCACACCACGCAAAGCGAAGCCCGGTATTTAAGTGGAGAAGGGTAGAGGGGCGGGCCCATTATCCACCGAGTTTAGAAGGCTGTGATTGGTCCAAAGGGCGGGTCATAGACAGATTTCTCGGTTATCAAAAAAAAAAAAAAGGGTACTAGAAATGCCCCCAAGGCCTAGCTCAAGTGGCAAAAGGTGGAGGATTGTGGCTTAGGTCGCAGGTTCAAGCCCCACACCACGCAAAGCGAAGCCCGGTATTTAAGTGGAGAAGGGGTAGAGGGGCGGGCCCATTATCCCACCGAGTTTAGAAGGCTGTGATTGGTCCAAAGGGCGGGTCATAGACAGATTTCTCGGTTATCAAAAAAAAAAAAAAAAAGGGTACTAGAAATTGTAGGAAATAACATGAGCTTAACAACATGCAAGTTGGGTTTCACATGGCTAGAGTTTGTACTAAATCACCAAGCCAAGAAAAAGCCTATAGCTGAAGAAATTGAAAGCATACATGTATTATTAAGAAAGAAAACCAAAGAAGCAGAATGGAAATCATCTCTGAGGCATTTCAAAAAGAATTCATGATGCACTTCAATGGCTGGCAGTAAAGAATAGAACATCATGCTAAACTGACAAAATATGTAGCTAATACATAAGCGCATATGAACTGCACAACATGATTATACCCGCAAGGAATGATAACAAACATACTCTCTAAGCTCTGGAGGATATTTGGATTTCGATTTGAATGCTGGTCTTTGGCCTTCTAAGCACATCAATCTGGTAGCCTCTTCAGGAGACTTGGTATTAAAAGGTGGTGTTCCCTCCAGCATCTGAGCCCAACAAAGTAAAATAAATTGCATAGAGCAGAAAGAAAAGAGCCATAAATCATTCACGCTTCTAGAATGCTGATAGGCCGATAAACAGGATAAATGGAGGACAGAATTGCATATTAAGAAGATAAGATCATCCAAGTATCATAAAGTATTGATGCGCAATTCTCTATTAAAAGGGTTTATAGAATGGAAGGAAGGGTATACTACAGAGGGCAACCAAAAATATGGAGAAACTTATGGAAGAGTCCAGCTCCAACCAATGAGACAGATGAAACAAATAGTCATCTGTTTTTACACTGCACCTTTACAGCACAACTTTGGTCTCTATTTCTCAACATAACAAAGACAAGGTGGACTATGCCTAAGCATACTACAGATTTGCTTAGCCGTTGGATGAAAAGAGGAGGTAGCAAAAGTTAAATGAAGTGGTGGAGGATCATACGACAATGCATCTGGTGGAGTTGGACAGTTTGGAGAGAGAGAAATGGGAGGTGTTTTGAAGATATATCCAATTCCATTCAGAAAGTTAAATGGAATTGTATAGTATCTTTCTATTTTGGTGTAAAGAAGTAGATTTAGAGGATATAGATCATTCTGTAGATTTATTAAGATCTCGGTAAGTATTTTTTTTTCTATTTGTTTTTTAACACTTTTTGATGGTGTCCAGCATGTCCTCAATGCTGAGGAATACAAATTTACCAGTTTCTAGAAAAGTATTGCACCGAAATGGGAAATCAAGAAGTCTACACTATTTTTGAATTAAGCTACAGCATTAAATGAAGTATCTGACAAAAAGAAATCATACCTCATAGAGTAAAATGCCAAATGAATATATGTCCGCATTCCGGTCAAATATTTCATCTTTATAAATCTCAGGTGCCACATAGGGACCTACAAGTGAAAAGAAAATGAGTAACGTAATAAACATAAACACATAAAGGTGAATCCTTTCATGCAATTGGCAAACTCATCACCAGAAGTTTTTTTTTTGTTTTTGAAACTGGTAACATACCAGAAGCTTCTGATCTATCAAAAATTAGTACCACATGAGAATTGATTTCTTTCAGAGTAGGAAATATTATGATTTAGTGTTTATTACTCAAAGTTTGAAAAACTTACTTGAACGATCAAAACCCTCCGGCTGCACCAACTTTGCTTTGTCAGGTGAAATTTTTGACAATTTAATCAGACCAAATCCGGCAACTTTCAGGTGATCTCCATTGTCAAGCAAAATATTTCTGGCACCTTACCAAATTCCGAATATTAAAAACACTAGGAAATCCCAATGAGTACAGTCAAAATGATCAGTTAACATCATTAGAGAACTAAAGCATATAGTTGTCTTACTTTGGATTTAGATTACAATGTATAATTGGGTCTGGTTTGCATTCGTGAAGGTAGTTCATACCCCTGAAAATCAACCAACATGATACAACATAGATATGTTTAGATAAAAGAAGTAACTGAAACAATCACAAGTCACCAAAGAGTAGAGGAATTGGCGAAGGACAGATTCAAGCATGAGAGATCATTTCACTTTTATGACAAAGAACGACTTGCCTAGCAACATCAAGAGCATATTTAAGCGCCTTAGAAGGAGATATACGTCCCTTTTTCTGAAGATAGCTACCTAGATCACCCTGAAAAATTGCAAAGCATTTAATGCCAAATTTCATAATTGCAAGGCTAAGGTAAGAATTGAGACCAACGACATACAAAATCCATAAGCATCAAGATCTCTACAACAAAGAAGTTGAATCTATTGCCAACGCTAGCTAAATTTTTAACCAATGTTGAGTGTCCATTATAATAAGGAATATTAACATAAGTTGAATTGATAAAAAGGTGAACAAGCTACATTGCTGTGTGACAGGCAGTGTGGAAAGATTGACAGAGCCTACCCTTGGATGATACTCTGAGACTATCATCATCGGTATATTTTGTGTAACTGCTCCAACAAACTGAACTATATTTGGATGCCGCACTTTTTCTAGCAAAGTTAATTCATGTTTGAAAGCGTTTCTGCATGCAATCGTGGAAACAACGCAAAGTTAGATATTAAATCCAAAGTCTAATTTATGGACCCATATATTTCGCACAACACTTGTTAAGAGGAAAAAATTATTAATCATCTGCTTAAGTAAACCAAGGAAGGCCACATTCAAACAGACTTTAACCAGGTTAGAGGATCCAAATAACAAGTCCATATTAAATTGCCAGAAGGGGCTTTGCCTTGTAGATTGCATAATCCAATAAACATTTTGATACGAGGCCCCTCATGATACAGGACACAAGAAAAAATACAGAGTATCTACAAAAGCCAATAAGCATCACATGTGAAATGAGAGTCGCAGAGCAGCTAAAACATACATGCTTTCAGGATCTTTATAGCTATCCTTGTCAAGTATTTTTACCGAAACTTTCGTTCCATTCCATTTGGCAACTTGATATGAACCCTGTCAAAAGTTAAAAAGGAAAATTATAGACAAATTCTTGGGATAAATTCAAAAAGTTTAGGCACCCAAAAGCATCACATGAAATGAAAGTGGGCCTGGTGTCTCAGGCTTCATTCAGGAAGCTAAGAAAGAAATACAATGGTTAAAGCGGAAGGTAAGTATTTCAATTTAAGGCCGATTGTGCTTTCATCACTCAATCATAATTGAAACATCACAGTGCTGAGTAACAAAACATAGAACACTTGCCTTTGAGATTCCATCACTTTTGCGGATTTGAAGCTCCAGAGGGTTAAGTTCATATTCTGGAACTTCTCGTAGATTTGCTACAGCCATTGGCGTCTTTCTGACTTTCTACCAACATAACATATACATCTATGAGTGTCAGAACATAAGGAACCTCAGGCTAATTAGGACTTTCTACCTACTTACCGGGACTTTGGCTCCACGGGCCTTCAACATTTCGTAAATTTCAGCATTACCATAGTGTTTGGCATCAGCTGCCGCCTGTCACAGCCTCTTATAGCAGTCAAAGTTTGAAGATAAGGGAAAAAGCTTTAAACATTTTCTGCTGAAATACAGTTTAGGGCCTTAATCTCTAATTATCATTATATTTCAATTAAATTTTTTTGATGAAATTACATTAATTCAAAAATTAACTAAAACAACAGCAATTTCTTTTTCTTTTCTTTATTGGCCATTTCTGTGAATATAGAAGGAATAGACAAAGAAAATAGTGCATTTAGGGAGAGAAAAAGAAAAGGAAGCACCATAGTTACTTAAGCTAATGAGTTCGGAGAGCATACAACATCAAGATTTACATTTAGATATTCATTACTACTAAAGCCAGACTCATTAATTACTTTTGTGGTTGGTTTCTTGTCCGTAGTTTATGATAGCATTTTGCACATTCAAGGATCTAAATCTGATTGTACATGAGAAGGAAATGCGCGTACAAAATCTTGTTCATCATAAGAATAACAAGCAGGATGTAAATATTTTCTCAAAGAAGAGCATCCAACTGTAAAGTATTTGGATATGATGGAAGAAAGGAGGAAGAAGAAAGCAAAACAATGCTTCCTCATTTTTACCGAGTTCTTTCTCGCTAAGTTACAAGATTGACTTATTCCCATTTATAGAGTTCTTTCTCGTTTTATATTTGTGATCTGTTCTTTCTCTAACCCTATTCATAAGTAACAAGTTCATGCAACAAAGTTCTCAGGAGTTTTAACTTGGGAGGCCAACCTATCTGCTTATAGTTTTCTACTAGAGTTGAGGGTCAAATACACACATAAAGTATTCCGATTTTTTGAGTTTCATGCTTGAGCTATCATCAAATGTTATTTTTATACCCCTACTTTGGGAGGTAGAGATCTTACAACAACAACATACCCAGTGTAATCCCACAAGTGGGGTCTAGGAAGAGTAAAGTGTATGCACATCTTACCCCTACCTTAGGAGGTAGAAATATTATACCCCTACTTTGGGAGGTAGAGATCTTACAACAACAACATACCCAGTGTAATCCCACAAGTGGGGTCTAGGAAGAGTAAAGTGTATGCACATCTTACCCCTACCTTAGGAGGTAGAAATATTATACCCCTACTTTGGGAGGTAGAGATCTTACAACAACAACATACCCAGTGTAATCCCACAAGTGGGGTCTAGGAAGAGTAAAGTGTATGCACATCTTACCCCTACCTTAGGAGGTAGAAATATTATACCCCTACTTTGGGAGGTAGAGATCTTACAACAACAACATACCCAGTGTAATCCCACAAGTGGGGTCTAGGAAGAGTAAAGTGTATGCACATCTTACCCCTACCTTAGGAGGTAGAAATATTATACCCCTACTTTGGGAGGTAGAGATCTTACAACAACAACATACCCAGTGTAATCCCACAAGTGGGGTCTAGGAAGAGTAAAGTGTATGCACATCTTACCCCTACCTTAGGAGGTAGAAATATTATTTTCGATAGACCCTCGGCTCAAGAAAAAAGAATTAACAAGAGTAAAGAAGTCATGAAAAATTATTATAGAGAGCATGTCAAAGGCATGCTGAAAAAAGAAAGGTAACTACAACAAAATAATACGATAATTGAAATGCAAAAACAACAGGCAGTAACAGACATCAAAGGACAAGAAACTCCCTGAGTAATACTATGACAATTGGCAAGGAAAGATAAGCGAGACAATGCTCTACTACCTACTAACTTTCCACCCTAATCCATCTCCTCCACAACCTCCTATTTAACGGCATGTCCCTGATAAGCTGAAACTGCGTCATATCATGTCTAATCACCTCTTTCCAATACTTCTTTGGCCTACGTCAAGCTCTGCTGAAACCATCCATAGTCAACCCCTCACAACTACGTACTGGAGCATCCGTGCATCTCTTCTTCATATGCCCAAATCATCTCAATCTTGCTTTCCAAATCTTGTCCTCCACCGAGATCACTCCCACTTGTCCTGTATATCTCCATTTCTAATCCTATCACTCCTAGTCTGACCATATTTCCATCGTAGCATCCTCATTCATTTTCTGAAAGTGAGATTTTTTCACTGGCCAACAATCCGCCTCATACGATATAGTAGGTCCAACCACTACACTGTAGAGTTTTTCTTTAAGTTTTGGTGGCATCTTCTTATAACACAAGACTCCTGATGCAATCCTCCATTTCACCCACCCAACACCAATACGGTGTGTGGCATCATCGTCAATCTCTCCATCTCCTTGGTTAATAGACACAAGATACTTGAAACTCTCTTTGGGACTGCATTTGTATCAAACCTTACTTTCGCACTAGCCTCATGTGCTACGTCACTAAACTTGCACTCCAAATATTTTGTTTTGGTTCTGCTCAGCCTAAATCCTTTAGACTCCCAAGGTCTGTATCCACACGTCCAGCTTACTGCTAACTCCTTTACGAGTCTCGTCAATCAGAACTATGTCATCTGCAAAAACATACACCATGACACCTCACCTTGGATTTGCCGTGTCAATTCATTTAACACCAAGGAAAATAAAAACGAGCTAAGAATTAATCCCTGATGCAACCCCATCATAACTAGTAAGTGTTGCAAGTCTCCTCCCACCAGCCTTGCCCTGATCTTGGCTCCATCATACATGTCCTTGATCATGCTAGTGTAAGTCACAAGTAAAGTTGTATCCTCCTAGCATCTCTATAAGACCTCCCTCGAGACTTTGTCATATGTTTTTCATCTCCCTATACTACTCCACCACTCTTCTTCTGAGGTGAATGGCTTCTGTAGTTGAGTGACATGGCAAAAATTTGAACTTGTCCTCACCCACATTTCCACCACCCTCTCCCAAACTTAGTGTCTCAACACCTTGATACCCCTATAATTGTTGCATTTTTAGATGCCGTCCTTATTCTTGTACAACGCAAGTATTGTAGTCCTCCTTATTGTTCAGGCAATTTCACCTTCTTAAAAACTACATCAAACAACTCAGTCAACCACTCCATACCTGCCTTGCCTGCGCTATTCAAGAAACTACAGTTTGAAATTCAAAACAACAGTTTCATTACACACATCCTACAACATGTTACCAAAGAACAAAAGGAAAAAGATGCTGCTTTCAAAATAATTACCAAAGGAATCAAAATAATAAGATTTATACCGTGCTACCCCACCGATCACGGGAATTCATATTAGCCTTCCTACTTAACAATAGCTTGGCAACTTCCACATGGCCTTCACAGGCAGCAATATGAAGAGCAGTCCTTCCATCCAAATCGATGTTATTCACATCAATACCTTCATCCAACAAGTCCTGAACTCCCTTCACATCCCCTTTACACGCCATGAATAACAGCTGCATCGTCGAATCAAGATTCTCTGGCACAGTTCTCCCAGCATTTTCAATCGAAGGGCTCCTTTGAAGCGGGTCAAGCGATGACTGCCTCCCAAAACTGAACCTCAAATTGTTCCTCCTTGGATCCAATGAACTCTGCCTCTTGAAACTGAATTTTCCACTCTTCCTAAACAGCTCTGTTGAGAATTGCCTTGATATTCCTCTCTTTAACTGCTCCATTTCAACACTTATCTCCAGCAAACAAAAATCTATTTGTTACACCACAGATAGGATAGACTTATACATTTGATAGAGAATATTTGACCAATTCAATTCTACTGTAGCAGATATGTATATCTCAATACAAATTAGAAATCCCCCAGAAATTAACACATGATTGAAAAACTCAGAAATCCCAAATCTTGAAAAAACATATACACCCGCCAATTCGAAAAACAAAAACAAAATCAAGAAAGGTAAATGTACAAAAAGAACATAAAAAGGGGTTGTTTAGAATAATTTACTGTTGATAAATGGAGTAGAAAGACATTACAAAAGTTGAAAATGAAAGATTGAATTTGACAATTGAGAGACAGAATGGACGTTAAACTTGAATATATTTTTTTGTATGTCGGCATGCTTTTACCAAAAGATGCTTTATTAGTGCAAGTGGATAGTACCTACTACCTAGTGGACAGTGGCTTTGCCCCACAACAATCAAAGCTCAAAGTTGACCATTACTAATCATGCTCATAAAATATGGGTATACTTAAAAAATAGCAAAAGAGATCGACAGAGAAAGAGACGGGATCAATATGGGGGTTCAAAAAAGTTTGGTGACCTAAAGTTAAAATTAATATTAGAAAATTTTATATAATTTATTTTGAAGTTTATTTTTTTAAGCTTTTCGTCAGATTAATAAATTTTAACAAATAATAATAAATAAAATAATACACCTATAAAATAAAAATATTCAAAATAACAAATTTGGATGAAAATTTAGATAAGCTTAGATTTTAGAAGTTGAAAATTTAATATTAAAATATAATATTTCGCTGCTTCAATATAATTGTTGTAATACTTGAAACATGAGAAAAAATAAAATCAAAAGAATAGTTAATACTCTCTCTGTCCCTAATTACTTGTCCAATTTTGAATTGACACACCTATTAAGAAATCAATTAATGACATAGTGAGTTTATCATTTTACCCCTATTAATTATGAAGTGGATGAAAAATTCTGTATGTTTCAAAGTAATTAGTCATTTAATTAAGGACATAATAAGTAAAAAAAATTGTCCTTTCTTGATTTGTCAAAATGGACAAGTAATTAGGGACAAGTAATTAGGGACAACTATAAAAGGAAAAGTGGACAACTAATTAGAAATAGAGGGAGTATTCAATAACCAATGCGGTAGCCCTCGTTTTTTTCCATTAGGTTTACTTTGTTCATTGGCCATCACATTCTTCAACTCTTAGGGATCATTTGTTTGAAGACAAGTTATGATGGATTAGATAGATATGTTGGCATTGATTATGTTATGATTAGTTATGTTTGGATTTGTTATCTTGATATTATATATTTGTGAATGTTTAATTTATTGTACTAAAAATAATATACATTGCATAATTTTCTAAGAATAAGTTGTTTATTTATAAAAATATCATCCATAAGTATAAATGATGTGAAAAAGGATGTAAAAAGAAAAGGTTTGAGGGGATATTTTTACCATTTTGGCTATTTTATCGTGGGATAACACAACTAAAAAATTGCCGAAAAACAACGGCCAAAAGCGACAAATTGCATCGCTTTTTTGGTCAAAATCAACGGAAAAGCGACGCAATCATGTTTGTCGCTTTTTGGCTCGATGCTTTTCAAAAAGCGACGGATAGTGTCGCTAAAAAGCGACGGACTCCGTCGCTTTTTTTAATTTTTTTATTTACAAAAAGCGACGCAGTCCGTCGCTTTTCTGAAAATTTATATTTTGAAAATCCCAGAAAAGTGATGGACTAAAGGACACTGTCCGTCGCTTTTCTGGAAATTAATTTTTTGAAATTCTCATAAAAGCGACAGATAAAACCACCCTGTCCATCGCTTTTTCTGCAAAAAATTTTACAACAGAAACTGGTAGTTTCCAGTTTCTGCTGCCCACCTGCAAAAGCAATTCAATTCAATCCAGCCCCAATGAAGCACACAACATTATAAACAAGCTACACAAAACATAAAACAACAAACTTAAATTAGCATTCAAAAATATCTAAATCACAATTTAAAGACTTATAAAGTCTTTCAAAATTCGTTTCAAAATAAAAGTTCATTAAAGAGACCTAAACTAGGGAGTGCAATCTACAAAATCCTCCTCCTCCTCATCACTGTCGTCGTCGGTGTCCTCGGGAGCCGAAGATGTAGTAGGTCGACGAGCGAGGTTCAACACTTGTTCTTTGATTTGTTGAACGGTCGCACTCATGCTTTGTTGTTCAGCTACTCTTCTCCGCTCAGACTAAGGCTGGCAAACAGACCGGTTTTTGTTCGGTCTGGTCCGATTCCCGTACTGGTAAGTCCGATACCGGTTGAACCGGTAAGGAACCGGTTTTATAGGTACCGGAACCGGTACCGAAACGGAACCCGGATTTTGATCCGGTTCCGGTCCGGTTCAATGGTCAATTTAATTTAATTTTATTTTATTTTTAAATGTTGACGTTATAGAGCCGTTGGGACCGATTCAACGGTCAATTTAATTTTTTATTTTTTATTTTTTATTTTTAAAATGTTGAATGTTATAGAGCCGTTGGGCCCGTTTAGCCGTTGGGCTGGGGCCCAAAACGGCTCCAAACAGCCCCCCACCCCTCTCTACCCCTTAACACTATAAATATACTCATATTTTTTCATTTAAATCACAAATTCACAAACTATCTTATAAAATCTCTTAATTTTCAATCTCTCATAAATTCATAATTATTATTTTGTGATATTGACTTGGAGTTCGAATTTCAAAGATTTATTTGAAGTAAATCGGAAGCTTCAATTGGCATTCTCTCAATTCCGGTCTTTGGTTATACGTCTACTTTTATGTAGACGTTCGGTACATTCGTTCCAACTTTAATTTTTATTTGTTTATTAATTAAGTTATTTTATTTTTTTGTTATATTATCTTTGCTTGTTTTTCATAATATTAATTATTTTAAACTTGAACATGAATTTGGAAAAATATAATGGTAAAAGACCAATGTCGAAAAGAAAAAATAATAGAGGAGGAGGAAGTAGTTCTAATTCTAAAAATTTGCCACCTCCTAGATTTAGAATTAATACTAATGATTATACTCATGTTGATGAAACTTCTTTTACACGAGACTCACGACCTATTGAATTTAATTCCGAAAATGAAGTAGATCATGAAACTTTAAATAGATGTTTTACTAATTTTGAGGAAGAATTAGATGAGGAAGTAGAAATAAATGAGGAAGATGATGAGACCCCTACCCCTACTAGTCCGGCTACCGAATTACCGGAACAAGATGAAGTCCCCTCTTTACCTACTTTTTCAAAGAACGCTGTACGTGTTAAAAGATCTTTAGTATGGAAATTTTTGGTACAAAATGAGGAAAAAACTACTGTTACTTGCACGAAATGTAAATTGATCATGAAACATGTAACTACGGGTACACAAGGGGGAACGGGACGACTAAGAACACATTTGAGAAAGTGTAATAAAGAATTTGCTCGCCTAGATGATATAGAAAGGGCTAATAGAAATGGAATACCTCAACCTGAAAATTCTATGGGAGCTGGAGGTTCTAATATGGTTCAAAGTGAATTAAATATGACTAACCCGGCTAGCCGAAGCACACACCGCACATATAGTAAAGAAAAAGATCGTAGAGAATTAGCTAAAATGGTTGCTGTTTGTGGTTTGCCTTTTTCATTTCCTTCACATCCTGGTTTTATTCAGTATATTCGGGAATTGTATAACCCAGATTATGAAGGTATTCCAAGAAGTACAATTAAAAGTGATCTTTTTAAATATCAAAAAGAATATTGTCATTTTCTTCGTTGTTTATTTGCTTATTATGATGGTAGATTATCTATTACTTCTGATATGGGACGTAGTCCTAATGGTAATGATTATTTTACAATTACTGTCCATTGGATTGACCATGAATGGAACATGCAAAAACGAATATTAGGATATAAATATGTTGAAGAAACTAAAACCGGTGCTTATATAGCAACAAAAATAGGCCTTGTTTTACAATTTTATGGAATATGTGATAAAATAATGAGTGTCACTTTAGATAATGCTTCTAATAATTTGAAAGCAATTGATTATTTAAAATGTAGACTTTGTCCAATTGATAATGATTCTTTTCATATTAAGTGTGCCGCACATGTGTATAATTTGATAGTAAAGGATGGTGTTTCTCAATTTGGAATTTCTTGTGAAAAAATTAGACTTGCTTGTAATTGGATTTTTAAAGCTAAAATAAAAGCTAGAATTATAGAATTTAAAAATCGTTGTAAAGAATGTGGACTTGAATATAGAAAAGTTCCAAAAGAAGTATGCACTAGATGGAATTCTTTATTTGAAATGCTTCAAGTTGCTTATATTTATCAAGAGCCGGTACAATTAGTTTTTAATGCTCATAATGCGGACCCGAATTTGAGAATTGGCTATGAAGATTGGGAAAATACAAAAGAACTTATTGAATTTTTAAGTGTTTTTTATAAAGCAACAAATGCTGCTTCTGGTCAATATTATCCAACTATTTCTTCTGTTTTAGTAAATATTTGTGCTATTTCATCTGAATTTGCAAAATATAAAGGAAAAGATCGATTTGAAAATTCCCTTGCTTTTATGATTGAAAAATTCAAAAAATATTTTTTCCCTATTCCTCAAATCTATTTGACTACTACTACTTTCAACCCAAATTACAAATTAAAAGGTGTTGAAAGAATGGTTGAAAAGATTTATGCAAATTTAGAAATTAAAGATGATGAAACTCCTAGTGTTGAAGATTGTAAAAGTAGCATATATATAAAAGCTAGAGAGTTATATAATACATATAAATCTATGGAAAAAAATATTCCAATAGTTGAACCTCCATCTTGTAAACCTAGAAGCGATGATACGGATGATTGGATGGATGATTATCTTGAGCTTGAATCATCTACTAATAATGATTTTGATTTATATTTCAATCAGGCACGGGAAAAGATTAGGCATGAAGAAGGACAACTTCAAGCTCCAATATTAGTATGGTGGAAGAATCGTGAAAATCAATTTCCGACCCTTGCTAGGATTGTTCGAGATGTGCTAGCGATTCAAGCATCATCGGTCGCTTCAGAGCAAGCCTTTAGTGCGGCGAGATTTATGATTGGAGATCATCGATATTCATTAGCAAAGGATAGTTTGGAAATATCGGTGTTGTTTCGAGATTGGGTCAATGCCGAAAGAAGAAATACCGGACTACCACAATTAAATAGCCAAATAGAAGACGAAATAGATGAAATATTTGGTGATAATAGTGATGATGATATGGAAG